CTCGTCCAAAATCGATTTTTAAGTCACTGAGAACGGAGGCTTTTTCTTCGCAGGATTTTGACCGTTTCACTCCGTTCTTTCGCCATTTCCCCACTATATAGCGCCCTACTAGCATTTTAGGCCAAGCACCAAATCAGCTGCCTTTAACTCAGTCGATGCAGCATCTCTCGAAGGAGGAGGAAACTTAGAAGCCACATGCCGATCTGGCTCTGGGTGGACGAAGTCGAAGGTTTGTAAGAAACAAGACATCCTTTCCAAAAAATGCAGCGAATTTCAAATGAGCACGGAAGGAGCTATTTTCGAAATTCATTTTTAATTTTGTATTTTCATTGCAGTGGATATTAATTCCATCGTATCCTATGAACCCTACAAAACATCCAGTCGCAGAGATTGCTGAATACCCGCTTTTCCCAATCCTGCACCACTCGAGCGACCCATTACTTTATCTTTATTGTCACTGGGTTGTATAGAAGTATGTGATAGGAGGTTCGAGGAGCAGTGATAACCAGCTGATACCCGGACGTGTCTATCACTGAAAGGGTGGGGACTTTTCTCCAGAGACCCTTCCCCCCTCGTTTTGCCGACCATTTGTCACCCAGTTATCCCAACTCCCCTGCTGTCGAGCAGGAGCGGGGAGCAGAGAGGGATGAGGAGAGGTCGTTGTCACCATACAATTACTACTTTCAGCTGCCGAAAGTAGTAGTTGTATGGTTGTTCTGGCTTGTAGCTAGTAGAGGTATATAGCCAACATGAAACAGGAAAACTTGTAATAAGCCAACAACCGGAAAAATTCCCTCATCGCTAGGAAACACCTTTTTTAATACCAGGTTCGATCACCATCGACCAAACCGGACACCATCGCAAAGGCCTCCGCCCTCACTCCACACGCCCACTTTTAGCGTGATGTGTTTTGAATCCTGCATTATAACTGTTTCCTCGAAGAAATTTTGCAGTTTTGCTATTTCGCCCGTGCACAGTTGATTAGGGTTCACATAGCGGGAACACGGACGACCCCGCCCACTTTTCTGTTCCAAGGGACTTAATTACAAGTTTTGAATGTTTATAAGTTTGTTCAAGGTTGTCTTGTTCATGCTCACTCTCCACACTCCAAAGGCACTCTTAAACGCGCATTCATACCGCGATATAAAGGTGCGCCTCTTGTCCACCCGCTCTTTTTAAGGCATTCTGCAATGGTTTGATCTTTTTTATCTTTTCTAATATTTAACCCGTACCAAGTGCTCCGCGCACGGTGGAAAGCTCCTCCCACTTTGTGCAAGCTCGCCCATGTTAACGAAATGTCCCCATTCAGCAGGTCACAGTCTCGCTCGTCGCTCGGTATAAAACAGGCAAAGTTGTGGCGCAAAACTGGCTTTTTAGGGATTCATTGCCAGATTCGAATGCGAATATTATATTCGTGATCAGGAGGGGAGGGGTCATCTCTAGCGACCAAATACGACCCCCTCGCTGGGGATCCCCAACGCGCGACGTGCCTGACGTCTCTGTGGATCTCGGTAAGAAGGTTAGAAGTTTACATATCTTCCAACCGCACAAAAATCTGCTATCATTCTGATCTGAAGGGGAAAGAACGGCGCAGGCCAAAAAGGAATTGAGTAATGGCTTTATGCTTACTGCTTTAGTGCCTTATGTGTATATATGATATGTGTTGATATGACACTATCGATATGACATAACAAGTATTACGAGTGCAGTTAATGAAGTGCATTTTGCTCGCATTTCGTCGTTCTATGTCAGCAAATTCTATCCAGTAATGAAAAAACCTCACTAGGAATCGTCACATGTTCATCGAGAGATTTGTCTCCACCGGCTTGAAAAGCTAGTCCTCTGTACTGCAGCACAACACCCAGAGGATCTTCGGCACCAGCGCCATTGGCTGCCTAAACAGCTTCTCCTCAGTTGGCTTTTCTTTTGCTTCCGAATACTTCGAAAAAATACATATCAGGATTATTTATGAGAGTCAGAGCACTCCCTAGGCAGCAGTAGACAACCTAGGCTCGCGCCGAAAAGTTGCAAGGCAAGGGCGTTGGGGCGCAGTGTTGCTCAGCTGGCTCCACCTTTTCGCAACTCACTCCCTTATTCGATGTCTGTCGTATTACTTGTTTTGTGCACACTCTCGCCTCCAATGTTTCGCCTCTCGCCCAAAATCACAACGCTTCTTCTTCACATCACTCTTAAAATCAACTGCAACACAGGGATCTTGTTAAAACGTTTTGAATGGTTTGCCTAGCTTCTGTTCTCTGAGGGTCAGCCAAATTACTTTTACTCAACCACTTCACTTAAATTAGTCTTTAGTTTTCTTTAGTTTCAAGTTGCAATTAAGAAATATAAAGCTTACCGTAAGCGAGTCTCCAAGTGCCATAACCACCTTGATATCGGCTGGTCGAACGGAATTCACATTTTTGGGAATAGTCTTACTTGGCTTCATCAGGTCCGCAGCACAAGTGTAACCAGGAGCTCCAAGATCGTCCAGCGCCAAGCTGCACATTTACTCAGTTTAACAAGTAAAATTAATTCCGTAGTAAGGACTCACTTTTCGTACACATTGCTCCACTGTGCTGCGCATAGCAGTGGTGAGAATACGAGAAGAACTGAATGGGAAAAAATTCGATGAATTCCTTCGGGTTCAAGAAAACTTGGAAAAAAGTCCCACCTGAGGCTAGCATTCCAGCGCCAGTGTTCTTCCCCTTCTTATCTTATCACGCTATTAAGCAATTCCACGGGAGCATTATTCTCAAAATTGCAGCTTTGTCGAAAAAATCGGTCTTTGGCCCATCTGGTGCTTGATCAGTAGTGTTCTTCTGCCTCGCCGAAAACATTACGAAACAATTTCTTGCAATAGCGAAAACACATTTACAGAATTGTCAGTTTGTCCCTCGCGCTACGTAGACGAATGTCAAAAGCTGCATTCTGTCTTCCATTTTTAAGTGTGTAAAAGGGCCCTTTCTGGGCTTCTGTATCCAGAGTTATTGGGTGCAATATGACATACAGTCTTTTTCGTTGCGGATGATGGGACGCGTCAGGTGGATGGGTTTGGCGCGGCCCGACACGTTTTTTTTTTTTCTTTTTCTTTTCTTTTAGCAAGCGATAAGGATTCAGAAACAAAATCACCTGCGATTTTTTTTTTTTTTTTTGTTTTTTTTTTTTTTTTTTTTTTTTTTTTTAATGCGCGCAGCGGGGGAGCGAAGCGGAACCACAGATGCAACAACAAAAATAGTAAAAACTGTGAGGTCATCAAACAAGCGAAAACATAGCATCCCTGAAACGGGGAAAATTTACAGTCAAAAACCCACCACCCACCAGGCAATTTACAGTACTTTCCGCTGTGGATCATGAGACGTGTCAGCGAGAACGGTTTAGCGAGCAGCCAGCCCTTTCCACCCGGTAGTTGGAGCGAATAAACGACAGCGATTGATAAAAAGGGCTGATACGAAAGATATAGTAGTACAATGATGTTACTCGTCAAAAGATAAAAAATGGACTGGGGCTGCGCCAAACCCATCCCCTTGGCACGCCTCATCATCCGGATCAAGCAAGACAGTACAGCTCTCTCTCGAAAAATTAGAATACGACCCTTCTCCGCAGGGTCCTGACGATGGCGTGCATTGAGCTGAATCGCTCTTTCATGCGGAGCCAGCAGTATTTCAGGACCCTTCATGTCATGAATAAGTTAATAAGTTTGCTATATGTTCCCGCTGTGGAGTGTTAAAAGAAATCTGCGATCTTGGAACTAAGAGAAGTTTGATGTAGGTATGCTCCTTATCCCTGAGACGGGGTAGGCGTGGCATTTGAACATGGCATAGAACTGGTAACTTGTGGGATCTTTCAATATGAGACAACCGCCATCTTGTCCTTTGTTGGACAGAGACGTGACCACTTTTGGGTCAAAATGAAAATATCTCTCCAAAGCATAGCCACCACGACGTTTAGTTGGAGTGCACACCCCCACGCCTACCACATCTCAGGGATCTCGAGTGTATAAATAGGCAACCGATTAGGTTATATTATAATTACCACCTCAGAAATCAGGCGAACATAGATTACAGCGTATCGGAGGTATTCAGAGAAGTAATCGAACGGACAACAACTTAATTGCTAGGATAAAATAAGCAAGGAAACCAAACGAACTAATATCCGCATGTGAGTAAAAAACAATAGCAGTCTTCAAGAAACTTAGGAAATCATATATAAATAGACAGCACAGTAGTCCAGCATCATCAAAATGAAAAAATATGTAGAATCAATCAATAGTAAGAATGATATTAAAATATGCTCATTATGTTAGCAGATCGAGTCCGTGC